AAACCCAATTTAACTATACTTGGCTCATGGTTTCACGAATATATTGACTTTTTTTGTGTGTAAAATTTACTATCGCACGATGTTATATGGAAAATGAGCTAGACATTTATAAAACAATATTAATTATTAAATAAAACAAGTAAAAAAGTCTAAGTTCGGGTGGAGCGGAACATTAAATACCCGGCGCCGTCAAATTGTAAGAAGAATGGTTTTATCCCTATTTCTAACAATTTCGATAGTATGTTCAGCTATACTTGATGAGATAAACTTATATAGTCAGATGTGGGCGGTATCACGCCCACTTTCCAAAACTCTATAATAATGTTACTTATTTTAAAGGGATTTTTTTAGTATCAATTGTGAGTAAATTAGCATCCTTAAATTTCGAAATATCGAAACTCAAAAATTTCAGAAATTTACCGTTATATGAAAAGTAGGAGTAATTTTAGTCCTATTTCAATAATTTTTAACGGTTTACTTTTATTTGGTAAGCGAAATGAGCGTACCAAGTTTGGTACAAATTAATCGAACGGTTACCGAGATATACATACCTGGTCATAAGTGGGCGGTGCCACGCCCATTTTAAAAATTTGTATCATAAATGTGTTTTTTGCTAAAGAATTATCGCAGTGCTCAATTTTGAATAATTTAGCTTCTTTATTTACTGATTTATCGAAGGTTTCGTATTTCTCTAAATTTCCGTTATATGAGATGTGGGCGTGCTTATTGCCCCATTTTAAAAACTTTCAGCCGTTTGGTATGTTGTACCAAGGGTAGCCACTGTGCCAAGTTTGGGAGAAATTGGTTTAGCGGTTACCAAAATATACACATGTAATCATAAAAGGGCGTGGCTACGTCCATTTTCCAAAAATTTATAATATTCTTATGTTTCGTCTAAAGGTTATTGCAAATATCGAATTAGAGTGAATAGTCTTCAGTAGTTACTAAAATATCGCAGTTTTCGTAATTCTGAAAACTACCGTTATATGGGAAGTGGGTGTGGTTACGGTCCGATTTCGCCCATTTTCAATACCAACCTACCTTGGGTAAAGGGCAATCTACATACGAAATTACGTTGAGATATCTCAATTTTTGCTTGAGTTATCGTGTACAAGGACTGACGGATGGACGGACGGACAGACAGATATGGCTTAATCGACTTCTTTTTACCTTCCTTTTATTAGCTCGGGATGTAACTATGTAATATTGATGCGCCTAAAAGATGCAGCGATTTCTATTCTCAAGTTACATACCTGATGACAGTGCGAATGGCAATTATAATAAGGAGGCTTTAGTTTTTTAAACTATAATTTTATTTTATTCTGATCATTTATGTATACATTTGTCTATATCTATCTCGATTCGTTTTGGCTGTTACAAACAACCGTTATGTGAACAAAGTTGTAGTACCCGTGTGCACAAGTGCCCTCGGGTATAAAAACAAATATAGCCAATACTGGTCAAGAAAAGGAGTTTATTATTACCTTCGGTGCAAATTACAAATCCCTAAAAAGCACCTAAAAAAGGCCGGAATCCCGGGATCCCGGGATTAACATCCCTAATGTGCATACATATAGTATATGTCTTAATTCTAAAATTAAATATGTATATGTACTAGAGCTCAAGCTATTCGGTTAATCGATTGACCGAATTATTCAAATGTGACTGAAGTCGACTACAGTTAATCGGATAGCACTATTCGAGTAGTCGAAGGCTGCCGGCTATTCGATTAACCGTTCACTTTAGATTATTCGGCTAACCGTTCACTTTCGATTAATTTAAGCTGGAGTTTTTTTACATTTATACGAATGTACATACCTACATAAATATATGAATAGTCTTGCTGGTGGGAATAGAATTAAATTCTATCGCATATTAAATTATTAAATCTGTGTTATCAATGCAAAAGGCTAAATTATAAGACACATTTTTTGGAAACTAACGACGGCTACATCACCTTCTAGATGCTTCTTGGCCTTGTTAGGCATACTGGTTGAATTTTCATTGTGGCAAGATTCGGCTACATGTGTGCTTATTATAAAAATTTTATTGCGAAATATTTTAGAGACACCGGCTACAACAATACTTACCTCTCATTTTCGCGATTTTTCTTTTGGATTTTTATTTAATGGTTGTTCAGAGATGGCGTGGAACATATGTAAAACGTTACTTCCTTTTCTCCCTAGGATTTTTCGAAAAAATCCTCAACCTATCTCCTTTTGCTCTTTGTATTTGAATATATGTATGTATGTATGTGTCAAAAATTAAATACCAACATAGTTGTTACTCTTATCTTTACTTACGAATATCCGTTACTTAAAGAGAGAGGAAAGCTAAATTTATAACTCTTATTACTTTTTTATAACGATTAGAATATAGTACGAAACTGACCACCGAGACTGCGGAAGCGGTGTATCGGTCTACGTGCAAGGCCCAAGTCACAAAATTGTGCAACAGCGTGAGCGAGTATTTAAGACCTTTTAAAACTGCTAAGTTAGCAGACCATAGCGATCTATCAAGAGTCGAATCCGAGCTGATTATTTTATTAGAGAGGCTCAAAAATGCGCATTCAAACCTAAAAGCCGCAGACGAAGCTATGAAAGGCTCCATCAAGCAAGACGATTTTGCAAAAGAATGCGATACCATAATTGAGTATGATGATAAGGCGGTAACCACTTTAGCTCAATTGGAGCATTTTATTCGAGTTAATTTCAACAGGCGTGCAGAAGCAGCAAATAACTCCTATGAGGGCGCAGCGCAGGTTGGAGCGACAGAGGGAAGTAGTGGCTATAGTGGTATAAAGCTTAAGGCCTTTGAATTAAAAAAGTTTGATGGAAACTTCGCAAATTGGCTTCCCTTCTGGGAGCAGTTTAACGAGCGGTGCACGAAACCCCAAAATTGTCTACTGCATCAAAATTGAATTTTTTAAACGAAGCGTTAGTTGGCAAAGCAGCCGCTTCCATAGCAGGTTTTACACCCATCGTGCTACAACGAAGCTATATCTCTTTTGCAAGAAGAATATGGAAACAATGAAAAGATCGGCGAGAAATGTGTGCAAAAATTGATGAACATTAGAACGGTACAGTCCACCACAGATGTACATGGATTACGGCAACTGTACAATGAGGTGACATCGACCATGCGATCGCTTGTAGCATTTCACATATCATCGGCCCAGTACGATATAATGGTAAAATCAATTTTGTTAAAATCCATACCAACAACTTTGCGTGTGCAATTTTACCGTTCATGGGAAAGTAATGCAGTCTGTAGCACAATGTTAAATTCCAGCGTCGATGCGGCTAATGAGAGCACTAGGAGTAATGGAACAGAAAATGACCAGCTGAATAAACTTCTGAAATTTTTAAAGGTGGAAATAGAGGCCTTAGAAAAAGCGCAAATGTCTGAGCGGGACAAAAAAGTTAATGTAAAGGAAAGAAGAGAAACGCGATATCGAGATGGAGGTACTGTAGCGGGACTTTTCGTAGGCAACAGCCAGCAATATCAATGTGTTCTTTGCAAAAAATACGCATGCCACGAAGAGCTGAAAGAGCGATTTGCCAATCGAAGAGAAGAAGCTCATACTGAGAAGGCAGGTGTTTTCGATGTGCAAACAGAAATCATAATTCAAAATATTGTAAGGCGCAATGGGTAAAATGCGACATATGTAGCGGTAGACATATATCAGCAATGTGCGAGCGTCAAGCAAGTGACAAAGAGCGAAATGCAAAACAACCAAAAAGCGAACGCAACGAGTCTACAAGAGAAACAAATGCAGCGGGCGCAACAACACTAAATGTAATTGAATCAAAAGCGGCTGATGTTTTTCTCCAAACAGCAAAAGCAATAATTAGCGAAGTGAATAGCGGGCATAGCGTAATCTCTAGAATTATTATGGATAATGGGAGTCAGAGAACTTATATAAGCGAAAAATTATCGGAGGAGCTTAAGCTTCCCAACTGTGGCTTTGAGAACATTCAAATTATTGCATTTGGTAACAAAAAAGCAAAAAAAGCAACTCAGTTGAAAAGCGTAGAACTTTCATTACGAAGCCGTTATAATGATAAAGTGGAAAAAATAAAAGCGATAGTTGTACCTACTATCTGTGCTAATATTTTGCCAGTACCCAAATTTATAAATAAGCAGTTTAGAAACATCCAAATAGAGTTAGCAGATTGTGAAATAGGCAAGGAGAAATTAGTTGACGGCATTAATGTTTTGATTGGGCAAGACTATTACTGGAGGTTTAACTACGGAGAATTTGAACGACTACAAGACAATTTAGTTGCCATAAAAACATTCTTTGGGTGGACTATTCAAGGCAGTTCTGGTAACAAATGTAATACAGTGGCGTGCAATTTGGTAGTGATTGATTGATTTGATATTGAAAAGTTTTGGAGTTTAGAGTCGATTGGCATCCAGAGCTGTCCACAACGGCAAAGCAGTACTGTTGAAGAAACAATGGTTAATATTAGTAAGGTGAATAGTCGCTATGTAGTGTGTTTGCCGTGGAAAAATTTAAGCGAAAAATTGAATAGCAATATAGAAATTGCAGAGCGGAGATTGTACAGTTTGACGAATAAATTGTTTAAGGACAACAATAAACTTATTGAATATGATATAGCGATTAGAGAATTGGTGCAGAACGGCATAGAGGAACAAGTAAACGACGCAAAGGGCGAAAAAACGTACTATATGCCCTACAAACCAGTTTATCGCGACGATAAAGTCACTACAAAAACGCGAATAGTTTTTGACGCATCCTCTAGCGAGCCAGAGGGCTTATCCTTAAACGAACACTTGAATTCGGGCGACAATCTCGTAGCAGACTTGCTGAAAACTCTTTTAAGATTCCGTTTAAACAAGATAGCGATGACTGCAGACATTGAAAAGGCATTTCTTCAGATTGAGGTTGCGGCAAATGATCGAGACGCACTCCGATTTTTATGGTACGAGCGTACCCCTACGTCTAAATTTCGACGGCCAAAAATCGTCGAATACCGTATGACCAGGGTAACGTTTGGTGTGACGTCCAGTCCATTTTTGCTGGCTGCGACACTCCGCCATCATTTAAACACTTCTCAGCAAGAGTATGGAGAGTATGGATAGATTAAAACAATATTTTTATGTTGACGACTTGGTATTAAGCGAGAGAAGTTTAGAAGAAGCCAAATCAATGTATTTAAAATCAAAAGAGATTATGGCTAATGCAAAATTTAATCTTCGAAAATGGAAAACTAATGATCATGAGCTTAGCAAATTTTTTCAGGCGTATGACAACGAACAAGCGATTAGCCAAAAAGTACTTGGCATCAATTGGACTACAATAAGCGATGAGATAAGCGTTGATATTGAGAGCATTAGCGAGTATTTAGGGAAATTGAGACCAACAAAAAGAAATGTCATGAAAGCTATGGCAAAGATATATGACTCTTTGGGAATGCTACGCCCGTTTACTGTCCGAATAAAGCTCATTCTTCAAAACATTTGGAAACAGAATTTGAAATGGGACGAAGCTCTATGTGGTGATAACATGAACGATTTTCAACACTGGCAAGAAGAAATAGAATCTCTCCATAACTTTAACATGAAGCGATGCTTAGCAGCAGAAAGTGATTCTAAGTACGAAGTTCATATATTTGCCGACGCCAGTCCGAAAGCGTATGGTGCTGTTGCTTACGTGCGTCAACTAGCAGCAAGCGGTATCATTAAGAATAGAGTAAGCCCAATGGAGAAAACTAAAAAACAGAGCGAATTGGCATTACCGAAGTTAGAATTAACAGCAGCGTTAACAGCAGCGAGACTAAAATGATTTTTAGTAGATGCACTCAACTTCGAAGTGCACAGCGTTACTTTATGGACCGATTCAGCAATAGCGCTCAACTGGATTAATGGGCAAGGAAAACAAATACCCTATGTTAAAGCAAGGGTTAGTGAGATTAATAACCTAACGAACATTTATGATTGGAAGCATTGTCGAGGCAGTAACAATGCAGCGGACCTCCTTACTAGAAATATAAAATCAAAGGCGTTAGTGGACTCAGATCTATGGAATTTCGGCCCTGAATGGTTAGCTGAAGATGAGTTGAATTGGTCATCGGAATACATTTTAGAAAAATCAATGAGTCTACTATCCGAGTGTACATACGCCAATAACGAAAGAACTAGCGAAGCTGTTATAACACTGGAAAATTACAGTGGGTTGAAGCGGCTTTTGTGAGTTACTGCGTTTGTTTTCCGAATCGTTGAAAATCTTAAACTTAGCGTGATAAATAAAAGAGAGCATTAAACAAAATCTTCCAGCGTCAGAGCCGAAATAACAGCGCATGAGTTGAGCAAAGCAGAATCGTATTGGGTCAAGTATGTGCAACGAGACCATTATAAAAAAGAAGTGGTTGCCTTAGAAAACCAGCGTGCAATTCCGGCGGATTAAAAAATTTTATCGTTGAATCCAGTTCTAGTCGATGGAATATTGAGACTCACTAGCAGGCTACCACCGGAAGTATATGGTAATCATAACCCAATAATATTACCAAAGCGTTCACATTTAAGTAGTTTGCTTGTTTGGGAAGCGCATAAACAAACAATGCATGGAGGCGTAAATACAGTTTTAGCTCACAGACATTTTCGCTGGTACAAGCGTGCCCGCTTATAAAATCTTGTCTACATAAATGTGTTATCTGTAAACGGCTACGTGGGAAAAGTGCGACCGAGAAGTGGACAGTATTGCCACGCGAACGAGTAGAAACAAGCAGACCATTTGAAACTATTGGAGTTGACTTTGCTGGACCGCTATATGTTAAAGCAGAGATTGAAGGCGATAGGCGAAAAGTTTACATCATGTTAATATCGTGTGCTGCATTTAGAGCAGTTCATTTGGAGCTGGTTGGAGACATGACAACTAACAGCTGTATAAATGCATTACGGCGGTTTATTGCGAGACGCGGTGCACCAGCAACAATAATGTCGGATAATGCTAAGACATTTAAGCGAACGGATATTGAGTTAAAAAAACAATGATCTTTTTAACAATAGTGAAGTACAGCGGTTAGCAGCGCATGAAAACATAAACTGGGCGGTTTTTGGGAACGCCTGGTAAAAATCGTTAAAGATTGTCTGAAGCAATAGGAAAAGCGAATTTGACCGAAGACGAATTGGCAACGCTACTAACTGAAGTTGAATGTGTGGTCAATGCAAGACCATTGACTTACATAAGCAGCGATCATAACGATTTGGAGCCTTTAACTCCAGCACATTTTTTAACTAACTTTACACCTCTTTTACTTCAAACAGATTTCAAAAGCGATAGTTCCTCCTTGACAAAGACGTGACAACAAGCTATAATAAGGCGGTATATGAAGAGATGGTGTACAGAATATCTAAGCGCACTCCGTACCATACACCAAAATAGAGGCGGTCCAACCCGTAGCTACACGATGACAATAAACCTCGGCTGCAATGGAAACTAGCGGTTGTGCAGCAAGCATATCAAGGAAGAGATGGCCGCGTTAGGGCTTGCGATATCCGGCTACATGGTCAAAACGTTTTGAAGCGCCCAATTCAGTTACTATACCCACTTGAAATAGCGTCTTCTTTGTTCGGGGCGGAGGATGTCAAAAATTAAATACCAACATAGTTGTTACTCTTATCTTTACTTAAGAATATCCGTTACTTAAAGAGAGAGGAAAGCTAAATTTATAACTTGTATTACTCTTTTATAACGATTAGAATATAGTACGAAACTGACCGCCGAGACTGTTTGAGCTCGGGAAGGAAAAAAGCGTGTTTTATTAAATATTTTTTCACAGTATGTACATAAATATAAGTATGTACTCAAGGCACATAAATACAGGTAGAAGGCACATTAAACAGTTAGTATCAGCAGAGCAGCTGATTTGATTTTTTATTTTTTTCAAATTATTTGGCCTCGAAAATGTCAAATATTCCTAATTTATTCTCACAAAAATTCTAAATTGTTAAAATCTATTTGCATGTGAAACCTTTTTCCATACAAAACAAGTGATTGAATAGCAGCTTTTGGAACGCTCGCCCAAGTCAGCAGCACAACCGCAGGTTACTGGGCCTTGCAAAGGATGGATAAATGCTTCAAAAAGCAAACAAATTTACTAAGAAAGAAATTTGCAACAACTTTAATTTCTTCCAATTTAAATTTTTTATTTTTTATTTTTTTTTTTTTGTATTTGACATGGCATGCTTTGATTTAGAAGAAAAAAATCAGAACGGGTTTTGGCACTTACGATACCAGAAGCAACAACAAAACACACGCAAATGTTGTTTCTGCTCTAATAGGCGGCATACACCGTGCGCCTGACTCGTAAGTCAGTTTGAATGCGTTTGTGAAAATAAATATGTGTTAGTTACACTGACATGACTTCTGGGATGACTCTGAATGATTCCACTGTGTGTAGTCGAAGGGGAGTCAACAAGTACACAAATGACTCGCGAGTCAGACGCACTGTGTATGTCGCCTATAATGCTATTTACTACCTGTTTGATATGCCTTGCTGTTTTTAACGTATCTTGTTGTGTACTTACGTATATTTTATATATTTTTTTCATTTGTAAAAAAAAACATTCAATGAAACTTCGCTTACTGCAATTCGATTTGCTACAATACTCGAGCAGTCGACCCACAGCAACTATTCGAATAGTCGAAAGTCGGTTTGTGAATAGTCGAAAGCGGCTATTCGAATACCATTAACCGATTAATAAGTACACTCAGAAAAAGGTTTAGTTATAATTACCAAGATTTGGTTATAGTGACCAAGTGGCATAGTTGGATACGGCGAAATAAATATCTAGTTCACGAAAGTCTGCAATTTACTTGAGACTTCTAGTTGGGACAAATGAATATTTGTTAATAATTACAAAACGACTACCTTGAGTGGACAATATTGTTAGCTGAATAAAATCATTGTTGAGCAAATATAAACAATGCTTTGGTTGATACACGTTTTCAATTAATTTTGTGAACTTGCTGTAGACTTGAATCAGCTAACCGTTTATTATTGGAAAAAAAGTTTCAGTTTGACACAAATAAAAATTTACTCGATGGTTGTTGTGTTTACTTTCTTCTTTTATTTGCATATATTAAGCATAAAAAATACAAAGCCATTTACATAAATAGTTACTAGTGTAAATAATACATATATATATGGTCGTAAGAATTTCCTAAAAAGAAACGAAGAAACAGGAACAGTCGTGCGAAAACCCAGGTCAATATCTGCTGGAAGTGCTGGTTTAAGTATACTGCTTTGCTGTTTCCTTGGCTAAATAGATACTTTCAAACTATAATTCCCATGAATTATATATCCAATGAGAAACCCCGGTTGGCATCAAACTTTATATTTTTAAAT